GACTACTTTTATTAGTTAACAAAAACATCTTTAGACCCACTCTCTAGGAGAAAACACTTTACACATTTGAACATAAACTAAAATTTTTGCTTATAGTTTTTACAGAATTCCATGAAGTTACCAGAGGTTCCAGACTTCTGCCTTAACTTTTTATGGTGATAAATATAATTTGAGCAGGCTCAGCAAGAAAGTAGCTTGATACTCAAATTTTATACATGATTAATACCCAGAATAGCCAAGATCACTTGCCTAAAATTTTAACACCATCAAGTGATTTGATGAAGGAAGTCATATGTAAGCTTGGCCAGACATTTTAATATGCGGAGATAGATTGGAAGTTTGATAATTGTCAGCATGAGCAAAGTAGTTCAGCAAAATGCACAGAGTATTTGGGGAAAATGAGTGATGCTGAGTTTATGGTATGTATTAGGAAGATGAGGAAGAATGGGATACATTGTTTAATAAATTGTGAAAATCAAATTATATAAAATCAGCATGTTGATCAATATTGGTGGTACTGATGTTTGAACTCAGGATTTCGTGCTTGCTAAGCAAGTGTTCTACCACGTGTATTGCCTCACCAGTCCTTTTTTTGCTTTATTTTTCAGGTAGGGTCTCAGGTTTTTACCTGTGGTGAGTCTCGGACTCATGATCCTTCTGCCTATGGCCTTCCACACATAGATAGCTGGGATGACAGCACGTACCACCCATAACTTATTGATTAAGATGGGCTCTCACTAACTTTTTGCCTACCCTGGCCTTGAACCACAGACTTCCCCATTTCCACCTCCCAAGTAGCTGGGATCACATGTATGAGCTACCATGCCTTCCCTGTTGTCCTGACAATATTCATGGAAGACTCCAGAGTTAAAACAATAGTTCAAGTATTCCTACATCCTGTGTTTCCATATAATAGAATGTTAATCTGTCTGAATATTGTTTTGGTGGAAGACCTGGTTTTAATTTTTGAGATTAAATTTTTTTTTCCTGGTGTTGTAGCAAAATTCCTTCCATAATCACATAGCTAGTTCTGAATTTTAAAATCTGTTAGTAAAAACACAATGAAATTTGTCACCTAAATTAATAACTTATTCCCCCAGTAAGCTGTGGCTTTAGCTACAAAATCAGTTAATTTCTTGTATTTGTTGGTACCTTGATGAAAAAGGTATCTATATCAGAATGATCACTCATGATACTGCTTAGTACTTAGCAACACAGGAGTCCCTACATTAACTTGGCTTTTGAGATTCTTGACTAAAGCCTTTACATATTTCTTCCCTTGAGATATCTAGTAAGTGCAGAAATTAAAGCTTGCTGTGGGAAATGAGAAATGCATTGATCATTTGAATAGACCCAAAATGAATTTTCTTCATTGATTTTCCCTTGGCCCAATGGCCCGTGTTTACAAACTGATTTGAAAAGTTCAAATGCTTTACAGTCGTGATAGGAAGTTTTGGCTTGTTGCATTAGTATCTTAACTTTTTGAAGCTTTGTAAAAGTATCTTCTTTCTTTTATTATTTGTTTCTCTTCTTTTTAGCTTACATCACTTCCAAAGTGGTGGTTTCATGCTCACATATTAGTCTAGTTCAGAGTCTGACAGACTAGTGGATAATACTCGGTTAAACCTTTTAGCCCATTTAACAGCTTTGGCACCACTGTCATTAACTGTAAATGAGTATGTTGTAAATAGCCTTTTAGAGCTATTCTGAAATTGGGGGTGAGCTGATATGGAGAAAGGTGGCTTTTAAATTACATTCCCTGCATTTCATGTACAGCAAGATGTTACTGATAGGTGTGTATTAAGTGTGGTGTGAAAGTTGAGAAAGGAAGGTCAGAATTTCTTAGTCCCTTCCTTATTGCCTTAAGAATTTGTGATTCCATGTTCATAATCTTTTTGTGTTAGTCCATCTCAAAAAAAACCAAAAGACTCCTTTTTACAAAACCAAGTCTAGTTTGATCCTGTTAGTTGAAGCTGCAAAAGCCCCTTACAATGTTGAAATTGAGATAAGTCAATAATCATGACTTCTATTTTATTTCTGTAAGTTTTTAAAAAATTTTTATTGAAGAGGTAATTTTGCCCATACAAGTAAGCGAAAAATAAGTTATTTCTAACTACCTCAGAAATACAAAGAGGATTACTGTTTTTAACCTTGATTCTGATAACATACCTTTATTAAACATTAATTTGTACATCTGTGTGGGCGTGCTTATCGTTACATATATTGTTAATTATTTGATAATAGTGATGATTTACACTTCAGAAAGTAAACTTTGTGGCTTGCTTATTTTATCCCACTTTTTTCTAACCAAACAATAAGTTTTAAGCCATTTATTTTCTCCATTTCTAGCTGCTATTATCTTGACTGTAATTGCCTAGTTTCCTTTCTAGCTGATCTATTGCTACTCTTTATCTGGATGTTATTAAAGAATATAAATGCTCCATGGAGATCAAAGTCTCAGCCAGAATATTTTTGGTTTCTCAGCTAAAATGAAATAGATCTGGTGGCTTGGCTATTAAGTAAGTAGCTCAAATTTGTCGTCAGAGTATATGAGGGCTCTAAATTCATTATGTTAGTCGTTTCTGTAAGCTAGCATTTGAAAAATGGCTTCGGCTGTTTATGGATTGTGGTCCTTGGGCACCAGATAGTGGATGTTGGAATGTATTGCAGAAAAGCTGATTAAAGTACTAGGATCTCTAACAGTACGCGTAGAAAGTCATTTGTAATGCCTGTGTCTGGCTCTGTTGGATGTAGTTATATATTTCCTTTTGAAAGCTTTGGCTTATTATCAGCTTATCCAGGAAGGAATAATATTTCTGCAAAAATGTGCCTTTTGGTGAAAATATCAATAAGCTATACACAATGAGAAGTTTATGTAGGGAGACTGATTTGAACTTTGAAGATCCCAGATAGTTTGTGGTTGCATTACCTAGCTTATTGGAGTCATGTTTCACTATGACTTAAATTTCAGTAGTAGCCACTTCTAGTTCACAGTATTAGTGTTTTTTAACTGTATATTAAGTAACGTATACTTATTGTCAGATCCCAATCCCTTCCTTCCCTCAGGCTGCCTTCCCAACAAATGTTTATTGGAGTTTGGCAATACATTATGTAATCACAAAACTTGCAGATATTTAAATATGCTTTACAAGCCCCTTGTAAAATACTTCAATATTTTCTCATTGCTTTCAGAACAGAGTTCATACTTCTTAGCGTAGAGGAATTTTGACTATCCTTTCATTTATTCTCTGCCTCATCCTTACTCACTTCCCAGCAGATGTCCTTTGCTTCAGATTTATAGAGCTACCATTTCCCTTCTCATTTATTTCTTGGGGGTTGCTTCCTTCTCCCCCATGCTTATTCACCCAAAGGCTACTCAAAACTGCTCTATTTTCTCCTCTTCCAAGAAGGATTACTTAATACACAACTACCCTGCCCCTTATTAATCCCTTTTAAAATAGCCAGTAAACTCCTGATAGCATCTCAGAAGATTTTTTTTCATAATCTGTAGTAATCATTTGTTCACTTGTCTGTCTCCTTTAATAGAATAATACTCCTTGAGGTCAGAGATGATAGGGTCTTGTTTTCAAATCTGGTATATAGGACTTTCAAGTGAGTGAATGACTTACAGATATATTCCCTAATTTGATTTACTTAGCTCTTGACTCTTCCGGCATTTGAGAGTAAGGATTATGCCATTTTCCTCACCAGGGACTTTTTAAATTGACTCTCTAACTTCCATGTTCCTGCCAAAAATATTTAACTTCCATATTGCTACCTAAAATACTTAATAAAAGTAAGCCTAGCTTTGAGCTTTATTGGCTAGAGGATATAATAATATTACTTTTACACTGTTAATTATTAAAGAATCTGGAGTACAATTTGTTTGAAATTGGAGAGACCAATTCTATGGTAATGAAAGTGTGCATTCTAACTTACTGATGAGTATTGCCGCACCTGTGGCTTTTTTGGTATACAAAAGTCCCTGAAAAGAGAATAGATATTAAACAGCTCCTTATCTGTGTATAGTCTCTACTTTTTTAGCTAATCTTAAACCAAGAGCAAGACAAAGTTAAAGGGGAAGAATATTTGCTAATAATGAATTACGGCATTTGAACATGTGCTTAGTGGTCCTGAAGTATCTTCATAGTATTTGTATCAATACGATGCATTTTATAGCAAAATAAAAACAAAATTTAAAGTAGTTCATACTTAAAAGTAAGATTTAAAAAAAAATAACCCAAGGTTATTTCTTATTAGAATTATAACCTTTTCATTTAATTTCTTATGTCTATCCTGAATTTTTTTCAATGTTTTGTTAAAACACTTTATGTAATTATTTGATAAAGCAAACTGAGTCAGTGTATGAGAGCTGAATCATAGTCCTGGCTGTTCTTTTTATTTATTGAATGAACATACACTGTATTATTAAGATTCATTGTCCTTCAATTGAGCTTGCTTGCAAAAGAAACTTGTTAGATCTTTGAGTACTCTAAAAGTAGGCTATGGAAGATTTTTAATTATATTTGTGTTTTTAGTCTGAGACATTTTGAGAATCCATTGTGAAAAAATAAAAGGGGAAAATTACCCACATCACGATAACTGGATATGTTCATTCTCGGAAACTCCAAACTCCTTTAAAAAACTATGTTTAAGAATTATTGTTTGTAAAATTCGGTATTGAAGTTGTATAATGTATAAAGGATAAAGCACATTCAAATATTATTGCCGTATAAAAATGTATTCCCTGTTTTGGTTTTGGAGCACTGTCTGCAAGAGGTTCATAGCATTTGGTACGTAGTTCACGTATTCCTTGTCTACAGACCTTTCTTGTCGAGGCACAGGCTTCGTGGTTCTCATATTTGCATTTTCTACTGCTATAAAAGCTCAGTGGTGGTAATTAATAAAAAAAAAACTTTCCATGTCATTACAAGTAGAACTAGTTTTTTGAAGACTAGTAATTTGTACCTTTAAAGAACCACATTATTTTGCTTTTGTCTCAGAATGTATTGTGCTTCACAAGTTTACTGTGACAGCCTGAATAGGAAAGGGGGAGGGGACATTGTCTTCAGCTGGCATGCTGTTATCAGAGGGAATGTGTTTCTGGACACGAGATTTAGCATTCATTGGTTGTCTGAAGAAAGCTATTTCATCTGAGGATTGGACAAGAAGCTGCGTCAATTTGCTGCCCGTCTCCAAGGCACTGGTGATGCTGCCTTCACAAGCTGGCTAACGTCACAGCTCCATCACCCAGCGGGGTGTGGACTCTCTTTTTCTGTTCTTCTCTATTTAATTCTCTATTTGCAGCCTACTGCATTTCTTAATCTGTCTTCTGCCAAATGCTAACAGCATGATATTTTGCAATCATCTAGGTGAATACAAGAAAGACGAACTCCTAGAAGCTGCTAGGTAAGTGATTCCATTCATTTTAAGTGAGTATAATGCGTTGAAGGGATAAAGGGGGAGGGCAGGTAGAGGACTACAAATATTATAACATGTTATTGTCTTGCTTGGGTTTAAGCAGTAGTGGGGATAAGAGCTTATAGTAATATTTGTGTACTTTATTTTATGTGGTTACTGAATATAATGACAAAATCTTTCACTAACATGATGATTGTAAGGTTTATTTTATTTGGAACATTTCTTAAGGTGCCTGCAAACCTTAGTTGCCCAGCCTTTCAGTGATATTCCTGGAGTGTTTAAACGCCTATATCTTCTTTTGCTTGAATGAGGGACATAAATATTAAAATCCTCGTCTTTTTTTGTTGTTGTTTCTTTTCTTGGTTGTGTATAATTTAATTTGTTATCTCTTTAAAGAATTTGTATGTATTTTTTAACTCCAATATTTTAGATCATTATCAGAATAAAGTTTGATTGTAATTAAGAGGTGACTTAATTTGGATTAATAAACAAAAATGCAGACAGCCACATCATCCGTGATATGCCACTACCTGATGACTAGCAGGAGCGAGATTAAGTGAATGAAATATTTTAAGAGCTTCATTGTGACCCATACAAAAGTTAAAGCAAAACCCTTATTATTTTCCACTGTATGAAAAAATCCATAAATATTCTTAAGAAGCTCTATAATTTTATAGGAATTGACTTACTACCTTTTTATAGGAGTGGTAATGAAGAAAAACTGATGGCTTTACTGACTCCTCTAAATGTGAATTGCCATGCAAGTGATGGGCGAAAGGTGAGTTGTTTAAAATGTAATCTCCTTCAGTCATTTCTTCTAGCTTTATAGTGGGTTTTTTTGAAGTAGACATGCATGTATGTGTATACATGCATATACATGCATATATATGGCTATATTTTGCTGGAATCTTTTCACTGTAAAATGAAATGCTGCTCTGTTATTGGCAATTCTGACATATTCACAGAGCCTGGGAAGCATGGATCTTAATTAAGTAAGCCTTTTCTCTTAATTGTCATAGACTGAAAGTTGTTTGTTACATGGAATTGCAGCACTGTCAGTGAGTGAAATTAACAGCATATACTTTCCATTTATGACAATGGAAATTGGAAATATTTATGTTCTATTTACTCATTTTTGTTAGGACATTTTTAATTTCTTATTTGAAGATTTGTTTGCTGGATGTCACTACTTTTCCATTAAAGCTGAGAAAATATTAATAATTTTTTTTCAGATCTGTATAGCAGCTCTGCTTTTTAATTATTATTTTTAATTGTGGTATATTGAAAGAAAATAGATTAAAAGAGGGAGAAATGTTTTGCATTATATATAGGCAATATATAAAATGCCTAGCTAGCACTGTCATTATTTGCTTCGTATTCTTGCTGAATAAATGTAGACCCAAGTGATGCCTATGGTAATTGACTGCCAAATTTTGCAATGATTTACATAATAGATTGAAAAATAAAGCACTCTGCTGTAAAGTAGCAAAGATGTACTCCAGTACTATTACTTACTTTGGGAAGGTGTTTTTAAGTGTTCATTTTTCCTTTAGTTTTGAAGTTGCTTTAGGTATTTTAACACTCATGCGGGTACTTGAGTTCCATATTTTATTTGGATCCTCTCAGCAAATAAAGCAATGTCTATGACTTCTAGAATAGGGCCTTCTCATCTGTGCAGCTCTGGGTTTTAGGTGAATCTTTTAGAGCCTAGCCTACTTCAGTTTTCCATAGACTTTCTAACCGCAGCTTCGTTCTTCCATCCTCATGGTTATACCTGACAGCCCCATTTCTAATGCAAAAAAAATCATAATTATAAAGATCGTGATCACTGGAACCAATGTATTCCTCACTCAAATTCTGTGGCTCCTTTTCTGTATTACTCTGTGATATTTGCCACAGACTTCCTTAACTCGTAGTTATTCATATGTCTTTTTCTTCTGCTATTGTTAGTTATCTTTGTATTTTTCACAGAATCAAGCCTTGGCACTACATGTGCAGCAGCAGCTTATGCTAAGACTCTGTTGTTCCCCAATAAACATTTTATCCTGAATGAGAAAAGTATTGCTATCTTTTGCAATTTAGAAAATTAGTAAGTATGTGGATGGGAGATATTATACTTTCTGTTATTATTATTACTTTGTATTCTATTAATTTATTCTGGGTCATTGAAACATAAAGGAGAATTGATGTTTTAACATGTAGAAAAATTTTAAGAATATACCTCAAATACTACATTGGGAGGATTCCTAATATAGAAATAATGCAGTCATATTCTAAAATATGCTCTTACAGACTATCAGTTTTTCAAATTAAATCAGATAGAAAGAGAAAATTAAACTTAAGCATTTATTAGGCTTTAGTGCTGTGCATGTATCACAGGGAATCATTTGCAATTCTCATCTGTATGCGAAATGCAAACAAAATTTTTGTAATTTAGATTGAACAGTATCCACATTTAGATTTTATCCTCATTTATGACACAAAATAATTCTTGTTAATATGTATCATTTGCAGTAAAGTCTCAAAGTGGTAGATGTTTTCAGTGTTCGTGGAGATTGGGATAAGAGCCCTTAGTCATGGCAGTATCGTTAACTTTCTTGCTGGTAGTATCTAGGAAACACATTCACAAATCAAGCTGCTAGATTACAAGTCTTTGTCTCACATATTTAGTATTTTTTCAGACATTCAAACGTGTTTATCTAGAATTAGGAATTCAAATTTCATATTAATGAGAAGATAAAGGTAGAAGTGAGATAGTTAACTATATGAAGTTTTATTTCTTGACTTTCTTTTTAGAACATGTTGCAGAATCGAATCATTTTTTTAGAGGTTTTCCAGATGACTGTTTTAATGCTTAACTGAGTCCTGTCCTCTTAGTTGTTACTACAGGTCTTGGTTTGTAAATTTAAAAAGCCATAGAAATGTTGATTCAGTAGTGTTTTGGATAAGAAATGCTCTTCATACAGTGCTTTGTAGGTGGAGAATTTGCCTAGAGATGTGTAGGGGTTTGAGACTTTAGCATTTCTTTTTAATGTAGTGTGTCAGATTATACAACAAGAGTGTAATATTAATTAGTCTTGTAATTCAGTATACTGTGACTTGGTGATTATCTAACTAGGCAATATATCAATGATTACTATTTTGATTTCCCACTGACATTTGTTTTTATAACCTGTAGAATTCTGAAAATAGTGAAGTAACAATAAAGTTTTACATACTTTATATTTTAGATTATGCTTTTATTTTTTTCAAAAAACAAAACTACAATAAATTTAGATTAAAGCCAGGAATCACATTGTACCTCTTATAATCCCAGCACTCAGGGAGGCTAAGGCAGGAGGATCAAGAGTTTGAGGCAAATCTGGGCTTCACAGCAAAATGCTGTCTTAAAAAAAAAAATTCCAGCCCACACACATTTATTTATGATTGACTTTTATTTGTGATTCTAGAATTGGGTAACACTTCATTCTATAAAATAGAGAGTATTCTGTTGAGCTGAGCTGAGTTGATCAGAGATGGCTGGCTTTATAAGCAGAGGAGGAAAATAGTCACATTTGGGATTTGGCTGTCATTCTCTTTCTCTCCTGATTGCTCAGAAGGTCAGATAAAGAACTTGGTTTTGGCTTGTTGGCATGGATCTCCAGCATGATTAACTTTTGGTTTGTTGTATTGGTCCTAGTGGATGAGCTCAATCAAAATCATTGCTTCCTATAATTTCATTTAACATTTTATATGTAAACTAGAGCTTGTCTATTCTAGGAATTTCATTTTTTCCCTTAAAATAAAGACAGAACATTTAAAAAATATTTTGTTCTAAAACTTCAGACAATGATATGCATGCTTTAATGATGACTACTTTAGAAATATAAGGGCGTAAATATAATTTATTCTTTCTTCCTTCTCCTATCCATTCTGACTATTACATTCCATATCTCCTAATTGTAGTAAAATGCAACCATGAATGTAGTAAAATAGATTCAAACTTAAATTTCTGTATCTTTAATCTCCCTTGATACAGTATTTTCTATCAATATCAGATGTTTTATTAAAAATTATTCAGATGTTCTATACTTGTTTTGGTTTCTGAATTTAAGATAGTACTATTCTCTTGTTTTATAATATTTTCATAATAAAATATTTGAGTACATCTTAAAATTTATCTTAACCTTCAACCCTCTGGAGAGTTCTTCATGGTCCCTCGTTTTATTTTCCCCTTTCTTTACTTTATCTTCTTCCAAAACAAATGTCCTTAATCTATACCCTCATTATCATAACAAGTAATAAGTGGGGTTATAGATTATATGTAATTCCTAAATGGGGATGATATGTATTTTTACATACAAGGTTGATGCTTCTTAAAATAAATTGTTCAATACAATTTCTAGTATTTCAGGTTTCTTTATTCTTTCACTTTTTCATTTAACTAAAACTCAATATCTACCAAGTATGGGTCATTCTAAATGTCATGGGAAATAAATAAATATATGGTTAATGGTACTTGCTTTACATGGAGGTCATATTAGTGATAGGATGATTAAGACATTAACCAAGACATTAAAGCTAATGTGCTAAAAAAGATGTAATATTCTTTCTGTTGTGATACAGTTATAAAGTATAGAGTGAAGGTAAGGTTTGTTTTGTTTTGTTTTCCCCTGGCCTTTTTATTTTTAAAGCATTAGTATTTAGACATGAGTGGTTTTCTGTAGGAAACTACAAATTTAGATGAGCAGGCAATTGGAAGTGCTTGATTTAATACAGAAAAATTAACTGAAAGCTTGCTGTAAATGTCAGATTTCTACTATGTAAATGTTTCCTTCCATAAATTAACAATGAATAAGAGCCTGGAAACAGAAAAGTAAAGTGTTTAAAAATTACTTTCAAATGGAAATTAAGGAGAAATAAAGTAGAATTCAGTCTTCAAATAATATGAGCCATATGCCTGGTTCAGTTTGTAGCACATAGCAGAACCTCAGTGTCCTTTGGGTTTTATTTTGTTTTGTTTTGGCTGTACTGGGGTTTGAACTCAGGGCCTTATGGTAGTACCACTTGAGCTACTTCATCAGCCCAACAACCTCAGTAAATTAGATCCCTGTTCCTTTGATAAATTTTTTGAAGCTTCTGAACATATTTAGATTGGAACACATACATATTCCAGCATTCTCTATGTCCCTTCTTAAATTTTCCTTATTATCCAAGCTCAGTCCCAGGTAGCATTTAAATAAAATAAGCTATAGGTTACTAGGTAATCTACAGAGTATGTAATTGAATTCTTTCTTTTGGAGCTGGACCTTCCCTTCTCTCCACCCAGCATCACATTTGACAAATAAATTTGTTTAAGTTAGCAGCTTACAAATTCAGAAGTTTTGAGATATATAGCCATTTAAAAATACGCATTCATTAAAAATTGATACTTGGCTGAAATAATGCCATTGTGCTTATTTGAATTCCACAGTGTACCCAGTGAAGCTCAGGGAAAATGCAAGATTGGTGTAATTTTTTGTGTCTGTATTTAAGTTTGGGGTTGATACATTTGTCATATTGTAATGTGAGTGGAATTTCTCATTATTCTTGGCCAACAGTCCCCTCCCTTATGAGCAGGATTTTAACAATCATTACATGTATGTTGTTTCTATGAATACTCCCCATATCTTTATCTAGTCTCCTCCCCACTCTGACTCTCATGTTAGCCTGGAACAGCTTTTATGAATGCAATAAGGTGGAAATTATGCTAGGAACATTCTAAGACAAGCCCCTGAACTGGCCTGACAGCTCCTAGCT